TGGAAAGGCCCTAATTTCGCCATCATATTTGAGAGAAAGTTTTGCTGGATATATAATTCTTTGCGGGTAGTTTTTTGCCTTCAAGGCTTTATATATGTCATCCCATTGCCTTCTTGCCTACATGGTTTCTGCTGAGTAGTCCGAGCTTATTCTTATTGACTCTCCTTTGTAGATGACTTTTTGTTTATCCCTTGCTGCTCTTACAATTCTCCCTTTATCTTTGGTTTTGGTAAGTTTGATTATAATATGTCTTGGTGACTATTTTGGGATCTACCTTATGTGGGGTTCGATGAGCATCTTGGATAGATATCTTGTCATCTTTCATGATATCAGGGAAGTTTTCTGCCAACAAAGCTTCAACAATTCTCTCTGTATTTTCTGTTATCCCCCCCGTTCTGGTACTCCAATCACTCATAGGTTATTCTTCTTGATAGAGTCCCACATAATTCTTAGGGTTTCTTTATTTTTCTAAATACTTTTATCTGATTTTTCCTCAAATAAGTTGGTGTCAAGTAATTTATCTTCAATCTCACTAATTCTGACTTCCATTGCCTCAATTCTGCTCCTATGATTTTCCACTGAGTTGTCTAATTCTGAAATTTTATCGTTAATCTGGATTTCTGATTGCTGTCTCTCTATGGATTCTTGCAGCCTGTTAAACTTGTCATTATGCTCTTCTCTGATCTTTTTAATTTCCTTTATTGCACATTCTGCGTTTTGATTAATTTCCTTCCTAATTTCTTGAAGAGTTCTGTATATTAGTCTTTTGTATTCTGCCTCCAGTAATTCCAAGAAATTTTCCTCTTCTGGAAAATTTCTAAATTCTTTATTTTGGGAGCTTGCTGAAGCCATCATGGATTGCCTCTTTATGTGATTTGATATTGACTGTTGTCTCCAAGCCATCAATAAGTTATCATATTTATTCATTTTATGTTTGCTTACTGTGTCCTAGCTTCTTGTTTTGTTTTGATATGACCAAATAGGCTGCTCGTATGAGCTAGTTTGATTATTGGCACCTTTGAAGTGCTAATGTCCTGTCACCAAGTGGTTAGATCTGTTACTAGATATGTGAGCTTAGAAGTCCTCCCAATCCTCCTGTATGGATTCAGCTCAGGTGCCCAGGTAGCTAGCCACCAAGTGTGTGGTGTAGGCTCTCACTTACAGTACAGTCCTAGACAGACATGGGTGATTGGTGTAGGCACAGGCATCTGGCTGCAGCAGGGGGACAAACTCTGAGCAAGGCAGGGGGCTGATGGCCGCCTGCGAGTGTCCAGGAGGAAGGTATGTTCCTATTTCCTAGAGTGCGTGGGTGGGTGGGTTTTGCAGCTGGACTACGAGCATCTCATGATATTGGCTGTAAGGACTAGGGGGCACCTCTTGTTCATGGGCCCCTCTCGCTGGTTGCTAGGTGGTGTGGGTGGAGCCACCAGCCCTCAGGCCCCTGACGTGGGTAGGTGAAGACCCTGCTTAATGGGCAGAGCAGTGTTAAATGTCAAGAACCTGCCACTTCACAGCTGAAACAGTTGAAGTTAGACTTCTGGTATATACCCTGTTGTACTGCGGTAATGAGGGCCTAAGCTGTTGAGATGGGCTGACACAAGTCTGTGCAAGGGGAAAGGCACTCAAAGTCCATGGATCCCTTATGCCTGTGCCTAGGCAAAGGAGCTGTACCTACCCTGGGTTCCTGGCATAGGTGAGCCAGCAGTTTATTTTTTCCCATTTGTTAATGTGTTCACTCTCCAAGGCAGGGAGAGTGGCTCTGGGTGTGTGACAGATCCTACCTCCAGCCCAGGGGACTTCGCAATTGCTGAAGTTGGTCCAGGATCCAGTGCAGAGCAGGGAGTGGGGAGGTAAATGGGAGAGAGGTTTTTCCCTAAGGGGGCTGTTTTTGATCTGCACGGTAGGCTGTACACAAGTACTTATCTCTTGCCGAGCCAGGGCTGCTTCTCACTGGTTTTGGGTGGCTGTGTAGACTCTCTGGTGCTGGGTGTCTCCCAGTGCAGAAAATGTGCCTCCCGAGCACCACCGCTTGACTGCCTCACCACTCCCCCAGAGGTGATCAGGCCTGAAGGGCTCAGGCTCTCGCTGGATCAGGTCTGGGAACTCCTTACTGCGTCCGAACCATCTCTCCCTCTCCCTGCCACTCAGTCCAGTTCCTCAACTCTGCCTTTGATGTTCAGGGCTCTGAGATTGCCATATACAATTGATTTACTTGTTTTTTCAGGTCTTTGTTGTAAGAGGGTCCACCAGAAGCGTCTGACTACTCTGCCATCTTGACCCCGCCTCTTAAGTCATGCATTTTAATTATTATTAAAAATAAGATGATGAAAATTATAAACTAGGATTTTCCTTGATTAATGTAATGTGATATTTTTAAAGGGTGGGGGGGAGAAGGCTTTTTCTTAACCAGATAGCAATACTCAAGTACATATGTGGATTATGATAATTTCTTTTTAAAAAAAAGTTCTATTTTTGATTACAAATAAATTACCATCAAATTTCAACTTTTTAAAATGCAAAACTCATTTCCTTTCCCTTGCCATGCAAGTCTTTAAACAAATAAAATATACAGACATATTTATACTGGTGTCTGCTGTTTTCAAACAACAGAAGACATAAAGCAAAGAGCATTGCTCCATACCTAATGAAACCTGTTCCCTTTAATTATTAAAATCAGCAAAAAGCACTGGCAGTTGAAGTTTCAAAAACCGGCAAATAAATGTTTGCAAGGGAGGTGCCGATGCCTTTAATCAAAGCACTGCTTCCTGTAATTATTATATTCCACATAAAATAACAGCTGTGTCTGCCACAGACAGTTACTAGGTCCTGTACTTAACTGTTCTGTTATTCAGGAAATGACCGTGTCCTTTTTCGGAAGCAAAGTGGTTAATATCATGTGATTCCTTTAGTAAGAGTTCAAAACAAAGCTAGTAATGTGAAGCCCTGCTGCTTGGTCCACGAAAGCAGCCAGTCAAGACTGGAACAGACACAGCCAGGCTGCTGGTCAGAAAGAAGACATGGCCTGAGGGCCAGACCCACTGCAGGTTGGCACTTCTTCCTTTGAGAGCCCCGTCAGCCACAGCGGGGACAGTCCCCGAGGGCAGCGGCCCTGGTCAGGGAAGCCTATGAAGTAAGGGCAGTCCCAACAGCTCAGACAGAACAAATCAGATGGCCCACAGGACAGACGTAGCACCATCTCCTCGGTGCTTCCCAGGAGCATGTCCCATCAGCTCTCTGAAGGCTGGGAAAGGTCTCTGAGCAGAACCAGCACGCAGCCACTTATCACCCACAGAGCTATGGTGCCTATGATTTTGTGAAGACCAAACCCACTCCAGAGCCCATTCCTGAGACCGAGTCGGAACCTTGTACACAGGGGGACTGCCACCCACCATGGTCTGTGCTCTCTGCTGACTCCCATCGTGGGGGCTGGAGGAGAATGCCAGGAGCCACAGCAGGGCCTCCGGTGGTTCGGCTTCTGACATCAGCAACTGCTCAGCCACGATATCAGCCCATCCACCAAAGTGAATGAACAAAAACCAGCTCTCAAAGCCACCTCTGTGGGACCTGGAAGAGAACCAAAACCCATGGCAGCGGCAACTTGATTTCTGTCTCCTTCCTGGTTCTTAAAGCAACTCAAATGTTTGTGAAAGGTTGGCTTAAATTGTACTTACCCACTGAAGTACAACTTGCAAGGAAGGGAAGTTAGACTCAGACAAGTAACTCACAATGCCCTCTGCACCCATGACAGGGAATTCAAAGGGATGACTCTCAAAGACCCCCATGGGTCCAGGGACTGCAGACATTGAAATCTGTACATCTAGGACCTCAGTGCACACAGGGACTTTGGGAAAGGAAGGCTCTGGCCCATGACCAACAGGATGGCACAAAGCAAGAACTGCAGACAGCGCCGCTCTGTCTCCTGCAAGTTCTGGACCACTGGGCTCTGTGAAGATGGGGCCTTCCAGCCACAAAGGCAGCCACCCAGGTGGCTCCATGGCCAAGAAATGAGGGAGGCTCCCAGGGGTCCAGATGGAGGCCATTGAGGGCTGTCTTCCTCCGCTCTGCAGTGCTGAAGGTGGGGAAGTTAGGCTCAGGCAGAAAAGTGTTATTTCCTTTCTGACAAAAGATTCTGATATTTTGGCAATTAGGAATTTTTATTTTTATTTGTATTCTTTCCTGTCATCACCTACACATCGATGTTGGAAAGTTAAAGCCTTTGCAAAGTTACCCTTGCCACATACTGGAAACAGAGAATTGCAATTATTGTTGAAAGGGTAGAACTGATCCAGGTGAGGACCAGTTAATCTCAAATACAGTTACCCTCTCAGCCATTTCATTGCCCCTGGAGAAAACAGAGGAGGATGGACTCTGAGATCATGTTAAGCTGGAACTTTCCTCTTGAACTGGGGGACGTGGCTGGCACAGAAGTGTTCCAGGCCCCCTGCAGTGGCTCTGTCTTTGCTTGGATCTAGTTCTGCATTTGTCTACTTGGTCCAGGGAATTCCCAAGCACTAAACTTGTCCTCAGGAGCCCTGGCAGTGCGGTGGTTAAGAGCTTGGCTGCTAACCAAAAGGTCAGCAGTTCAAATCCACCAGGCGCTCCTTGGAAACCCTATGGGGCAGTTCTACTCTGTCCTATAGGGTCGCTATGAGTCAGAATTGACTTGACGGCAACTTTTTTTTTAAGCATGTCCTCGCCTCCCTGGGTTGTTGCTTTCGTCTCAGCCAAGCCGTCTCTGAGAACAAGTGGTTAAACGTTCTGAAATTGGGCTTGAGGAACAATGGTGAGAAAAGGAAAGAAGGGTAGGAGTATTAGCCTTACTACCTTGTCCCTGAGAAAGAGAGCGGCTAACTCAACGGGCCAGAGCTTGAGGCTCCACCGGTCACGTTTTGGGGGGAGGGGAGATTGGGTTATGATGGCTCAAAGCAAGAAACAGGCTCTACTGTGTCTTTTCACCGCAGCCTCCCGGGAGAACAAGGTGAGCAGCAGGACTCTACTATTCCTTACTCCCATGCCGATCATGCTGGGATCAGGCTCAAGGCCTGCAGAGGTGGGCCTGGTCACTCTCCCTCTCTTCTACCAGTAACTGAGTGTACCAGGTGGTCCCTGGCTGGCTCGCAGAAGCCCCCTCCCACAGTGGACCCCACGGCCTAGGTTAAGGCAGGGCCACAAGTCCTGCTCTTCAACAGACGGACCAGAAATTGTGTGTATGGGGTGACATGGTGCTGCGGGTCATCAGTGCGGCCAGTACTCTGATGCCCATTTGGCTGCCTGTTCTTTTTGTCTATTCTCGATTGTTAAGAATCTTGTGGGGAAGGAGTGAGTCACTGGCACCAACACTGATCATGAAAAAAGGAGCACCACCCATCATCTGTGTGGGCTCAGTGAGGAGACTACAGAGGACTCCAAGATGGGACGTGGCAAAAGTTACCAATGAAGACAGTAGACTAGTATAAAAAATGAGTAAAATATTATTTATACGCTAAAAGCAAGGAAGTTAAGAGGAAGCCGAAGGAAGAAGCATTGTTACAAAGAACGCAGCAAAGCCTAAATGTGAATGCTTTTAGGAAAATAACACATATAAAAGGGTACTTCAGCTTCCAGACTAAGAGACTAGGAAGAAAGGCCTGGCAATCTACTTCCAAAAAATCAGCCAATGAAAACTCAATGGATCATAATGGTCTGATTCCGTTGTGCGTGGGTTTGCCATGAGTTGGTGGTCGACCTGACGGCAGCTAACAACAACAACTAATGCTAGAAGTTAATTTATGTTAGAACGGATTTTTCTAATTTTAGACAAATACTTACTAAAAAAGAAGAGGAGAAATAAGCATTTAACATTCCATCCTACTGTGCAGCGGAAGTTTCGAATCCCCTTCCCTAGAGAGATGGAGAAGACCAAGGGCAGAGAGACCCCCTTCTCCTTCTGCATGGCCGTGGATTCCCAAGAGGTGGGTGCCATTTTTTTCAAGGGTTTGTTCTTTTAATTATTAAGCATGTTTTTCAAAATTTAGAACCAGTTATTACTTAGAACAGTTCCTCTAATAGGTATATACCTATGCACGCCTATTAATTCTGACCTGCTCAAAAGCCACTGCCTGCTTTCTCTACGTCTCCTTAATGATGGTGCTTACATATGTGGTGCCAGTCACAGGTCCAATCATGCTTGACCTATCAGCCTTGCTCAAAAGGAAGATAAAGATCAAGAGAAACCACATGTGAACAGACTTAGGAGTGGTCAGTGTTTGCTTACCTAGTAGTCTGGCCTTCAACTGTTTCTCTGAGCATTTCAGAAATGTGCTTCAATGGCTGGTGCCAAAGTCCCTGTGGGATATCTGTGGGTGGAGAGGGAAGTCAGAGAGGAATTGAAGAAAAGCCAAACCTATGAGGATCATCTGCAGCTAAGACTGGAAGAGTTTTGGGAAATTTCCATTTTATTTTTCTGGTTCATGGAACCCACACCACCTACTTGCATGTTTTTCCCACCAGGGACTCCGGGGTTCCTGGATGGTGCAAACGGTAATGTCCTCAGCTGTTACTGAAAGATTGGTGGTTCAAGTGCACCCAGAGGTGCCTTAGAAGAAAGGTCTGGTGATCTACTTCCGAAAAACCAGCATTGAAAACCCTATGGAGCACAGTTCTACTCTGACACACATGGGGGTGCCATGAGTCAGAACTGACTTGATGACAACTGGTTTGGTGTTTTGGCTTATCTATCTCTTATACCCAGGGAGGAAAGATTCACTGGTGTTACACAGAACTAAACCTCAAAGAGTTCCTAACTCAGGTACAAGGTAGTAGATAAAGACTGCCTAGACAGCCCATTCTAGGATTTAGAAATGCTATGTTATGGTTATCCCAGGATGTTTCTTTCCTATCTACCCGCAACCCACCCTCATGACTAATAATTCGTGGTTTCAAAATACATGGAAACTAATAAAAACAGTCAACAGGGATTAGGAATGGACTGCCCAACTGCTTTCCTTACCGTGATGAATTGAGAATATGACTCCAGGTCTATGGTAAAGAAAAAGTCAGAAAAAACAAACCACACGGCATTATACAAACAAATGTCTTTTCTTGAGTCAGTTTTTCCAGTTTCATAATTATCCTTTGGTTTTAAACACATCTGAACATGTGTGTATCTGCAGTTCTAAGCAACATCTGAAAAAGGTTACCACATTTTCCGGTAGTGATAGATTTTGTAATTGAATATATGAGAAAGATAACGTGAGTGCTAGAGTAACCACGACTACTCCACACGTTATAGATTAAAGGGTCGTTTATTATCTTTTATTATCTCTCTCTCTCCTCTGAACTCCCATACATTTTGACTTGTAGTCTTTTGAAGGCATTTTTCATTTTCTTTTTTGTATTAGTTACTTAGATACTTATTTTACTTGCCCTCTACCCTGTAGCTCCTGAATACACAGGGCTTGTAAGTCATCCATTCCTTACACCCTACAGGACTTCACAATGGACATGAAATACATTTCTGATGAATAACAGATCATATACTATTAAAAAAAATTTGAATTTGCGAATGTACATTCAGTTTTTCCAAAAGTATCTAGACAACTGTTCTAGGAACCAGCATAGGAGATTCTTATACTTCTGCTTGTATCTATTTATTATACTTGGACATAAATCTAGGACAATCACACAAATGAAAAGGTGAACAGGCTGAGTTCATGCTCACACAACACCTTCATCCTTTGTTCATAGGTTTCAAAACTTAAAAAATAACAACTCCAGTACTTTCTCTGATGCTCACTCAGGTTCCGATGCAGGCTACCCTAGGGCTTTGCTGAGCTGATAAGAGCTGTAAGGTGTACCCCCGGCAAGTGGAGTATTGATTTTTCTGTCTTGTCCCATTGTGTCCCCACAGGTTCAGTTTCACAAAACTGTCAGCCAGAGATTCCACTGAGGTCTGTCACCCATTACTTCTAGGACCTGAAAAGATCGTTGTCAAATGGTGCACTTTGGGCAAGAATCTCTACCTTTTACAAAAAGGAAGAGGAATTTAGGTTTTGTAAAATGCTCTGAAAGTTTGGATCATCTGCTTTCCTCAAATGAATCTACTTATTCAAGTCTCAGGAAAAAAGAAGGCAAAAAATGGCACAAAAAAGGGAAATATTATTTGTTCTTTGCCCTTTCCTCTTCTCTTTCCTTCTCGGGTCAGGTAAATGACTTCCTCTCTGGCTCAGCGTTTACTTGTGTCCATGTTGCCCTTCCTACAGGTTTCAAGCTTTGGAGGGAAAGGATGTCTTTATCCTCTATTTCTGAAATGTTACCCAAAGACAAGCTGACAGGCATATTAAGCGATCAACACCAGTTGAATTAAGGATGGACTTGTCACTTCCCCAACTGAACACAGCCTATGGACGACTGACAGATGAAATAGGAGAGACTATGGTCTAATACAAATATCTTACTGAATTGTTTCAAAAGCCTTCCCTTGGTTAGGAGAAATTTCCCCCTATGTTTTCTTGGCTTCGTTTATCATTTTATCTTTTCTTCTACAACAAAGGGTACAAGGAGTAGAAAGAATGAAATACAAATAAATGTACTGCTTTATTCTAACTCAGCCAAGTCTTAGCGTGTTCCTGGATTTCAGGTGGATCTGGCTGGCACTAACAGACGCTCCTGTGTTCTGGAGGCAGACCATCAAAACCTAACTACAGGCCTTTTTTTTCCTTTTGGTAAGTGATTATAACTAGGAAGTCAGGCAAATTCTCATATCAAAGACCACAGAAGGTGAAACCCTGGGATCCTGTTGTTAGTTTCCTTGAGTCTTTCCTTGAGTCAGCCCCCAACTCATGGTAACCCCATGCATAATGAGACCCATGCACAATGAAAACCCATTGTGATCCATAAGGTAGATCACCAAGCATTTCTTCCTAGTCCATCTGAGTATGCAAGCTCCACTGAAACCTGTTCCACATCATAGCAACATGCAAGCCTCCACCGACAGATGGGTGGTGGCTGCACAGGAAGTGTACTGCCTGGGAATCAAAATCGGGCCTCCTGCATGGAAGCTGAGAATTCTACCACTGAATTGTCACTAAAGGGATCTTAGAAATGACCAATTAATTCTAATCCCCTTGTGCTACAGATGAGTAGCCCTAGTTGCACAGTGGTTGAGTGTTCGGCTGCTAACTGAAAGATCAGTGGTTGGAACCCACTGGATGCTCCACAGGAGAAAGATGTGGCAGTCTGCTTCTGTAAAGATTACAGCCTTGGAAACCCTATGCGGAAATTCTACTTTGACCTATAGGGTTGCTATGAGCTGGAATTGACTCGATGGCAACAGATTTGGTTTGGTTTTGGTTTTGGTGCTATAGATAAGGAATTGGGAGGGGAGGGCTATGATTTGTCAGTGTTCTTCCCCAGAAATCATTTTAATATGGGTAAAATCAACTTTAACTTACCTTTAGGGTTTTGGAGCAGTGCCATGACAAGAGAGGTAGAAGCATAAGGAAAGTAGGTCTTGAGGGCAAACTTCAGCTGCAAAAGAACCAAAAATATAAAACAGCATGCAACGTTAGGATTGGAAGGCATGGTAAAAAATATATAAAACCTGTATGTATCCTTCTGCCCCAAAAGATCCACTAGTACTAACATGGTCAGAATGTTTTCTTAAACATTTATTAAAAAAGATGCTTCCAATAGCCTTGTAAACATATTCCAAAAAAAAAAATGAACCTTTTTAACTCACCTTCCAGAACTTAAAAAAAAAAAGTTATACTCCTGATGATTTTATATGAGTTCTCTGCCTCATGTGAACCCAATTACATACACACATCTTTCTATTTAAATGGGAGTTGCTGGGCAGTATGAGATATTAGGTTTATAATATGGTTTCTTAACAACAAAAAAAAGCATAAAACAGTAATAGTGCTAATGTACTTTGAGGACCAAAGTGCTATAGCTATCCACCCCTTCAGAAGGTAGACAAGCTTTGAACAACTTTTTTTAAAAAATGAAGTAAAATCTAGAAACAGTGAAATGCATAAGGGCTTTAAGTGTACAATGGGATGAGCTTTGGTAAGTGTATAAATCCACGACTACCTCCACAACCAATCTACAGAATATTTCCACCACCCCAAGAGGTTCCTTGTGCCTCTGACAGTCAATCCACCCACCCTACCCTGGCAACTACTGTTTTGATTTCAACATGAGAAATTAGTTTTGCTTGTTCTTGAATTGCATATATAAAAATAGAATTACAGAGTATGTATTCTTTTCTGTCTGGCTTCTTTGGCTCAACATTTTTTTTTTTTTTTTTGAGATTCAACTATGTTATTGCATATTAGTAGTTCATTCTTTTTTATTGCTCAGAAGTAGTCACTGTATGAACATGCCATAATCTGCTTGTCCATTGTCCTACTGATTGGCATTTGGGTTATTTCCAGTTTGGGGCTATTATGAAGAAACTGCAATAAACATTCTTATCTATGTCTTTTTGTAGACATGTGTTTTCATTTCTCTTAGGTAAATATTATAGCAGTGGAATTACTGGGCCATAGAGTAGACCCAGTAACTTAACCCAGTAACTTGCTTCTTTAACTTTATAAGAAACTGCCATACAGTTTTCCAAAGCAGTTTTACCATTTTACACTCCCACCAGCGATGTATGAGAATGCCAGGTGCTCCACATGTTTATCAACATTTGGAACTGTCAATCTTACTAATTAATTTTAGCTGTTCTAGTGGATGTGGCAGGTTATCTCATTGTGATTTTACTATATATTTTCTTGATGTCAAATGATGTAGAACAATTTTCATGTGTTTATTGCCTATTTATTTATCTTGGTTAAAGTGTGTATTCAAGTATTTTGCCCATTTTTTAAAAAAATGGGTCATTTCTTACATAATTATAAGAGATCTTCATATATTCTGGATACAAATTCTGTCCGATATACGTACTACAAATATTTTCTCCCCAATGTGGCTTGCTTTTCCATTTTCTTAATGATGTCTATCAAATAGCAGAAGTTTTAAATTCTGATCAATCTGAATTTATTCATTTTCTTGTGCTTTTTTGCATTTAGTTTACCTCAAAGTCAAAAAAGATATTCTCCTATGTCTTCTTCTAGAAGCTTTATAGTTTTAGCATTTATGTTGAAGCCTATGATCCATTTCCAATGATTTTTTGTGTGCTTTGTTAGGTAGAGGTTGAGGTTCATTTATTTCACATACAGATATCCAGTTGTTCTTGCACCATTTGTTGAAAAATTTCCTGTCATCATTGAATTGCCTTGCCACCTCTGTCAAAAATCAATTTACTATATATGTGTTAGTCTATTTCTGGACTCTATTATATCCCACTGATCTATGTGTGGGGAAAATAATTTAACTTTATCCAAAGTAAGTTGGTCTTTGCCCTTGTTTCCTGAGAGATGACTCTAAAACCTTGTAATTTCCTGAGTAATAGAGGTGTCTTTGTTGGTCTCCAGACCACACCTGAGGGTTTGTGCTAATGAATGTGGGCTGGCCAGGCCATAAAGACCACTGAATGCCCTGATATCAGATGACCTCATGGAGGGGTGGGGCATTATTCAATCAATTATGCTTATGCAGTGAGGCCCAATCATGCCTACATAATGACTCCAATAAAGGCTCTGGACACTGAATCTCCATGAGCTTCCTGGTTGGTGAAAGACATTAATATAAGTAGGAGGTAGTACACCCCTGGGGATATGGACACTCTGTATTGGGAACCCTCCCAGACCTCACCCTATGCCTCTATTTATTTGTATTCTTTCTTGTTATAACAAAAGTATAATCATAAGTATAGTGCTTTCTATGAATTCTGTGAATCATTTCAGCAAATTATCAAACCTGAGGGAATGAGTAGTAGGAAAAAGCAGGTCAGAAGTGAGGGGGACTGGGAACCCCTGAGCTGGTATCCTGAGGGGATATAGGGGACCCCTCAATTGATAATCAGCAGGTCAGAAGTAAGGGAGTACAGGGGAGGCCCCTAAGCTTGTGGCTGGCATCCTGAAAACCCCAAATTTGTAGCCACCAGATCAGAAGAGAGGGTGTCATATGGACTCCCAAACTTCAGACTAGCGTCTGAAGTCTTGGGTAGACTTGGCCATCTGGAGGCCTGTGCCCTGTAACTTGTGAGCTTTGACCTAGCTCCAGGTGGCTAGGGTCAGAGGAAGAAGTCTGCATGTGCAGCTGGTGTCAGAACTGAACAGAGAAGTGAAAAGTGGGGGTTTTGATTTACGTTGATTATTATCCCTTAGAAAGTGACAGAAAAAACAGATTAGTTATATTGTCATATATGTCTATCCTTTTGTCAGTACTACACTATCTTGATTACTGTAGCTTTATAGGGAATCTTGAAATCAAGTAGTATGAGTCCACCAATTTTGTTTTGGCTTTCAAAATTGTTTTGGCTGTTCTAAGTCCTTTATTCCATATATTCCATTTAAGTTTTAGAATCGGCTTCTCAATTTCTATTTAAAAATGTTTTCTGGGATTTTAATTGGGATTGCATTGAAGCAATAGATCAATGTGGGGAGAATAGATACTTTAACGATTCATGAATATGGTTTCTCTCTCTGTATGTTTAAGTTTTCTTTAGTTTCTCTAAGAAGCCCTGGTGACACAGTGATTAAAGCACTCATCTACTAACCAAGAAGTCAGCAGATTGACCTCACCAGCCGCTCCGTGGGAGAAAGATGTGGCAGTCCGCTCCCGTAAAGATCACAGCCTTGGAAACTCTATGGGGCAGTTCTCTGTCCTATAGGGTCACTATGAGTCAGAATCAACTCAATGGCAGTGGGTTTGGTTTTAGTTTCTCTAGCAGTGTTTTGTCATTTTCAGTGCAGAGGTCTTATACATCTTTTGTTAAATTTATTCCTAAGTATTTTATGTGTGATGGTGGATTTATCTATTTCTCCTTTTACTTACGTTAGTTTTGCTTCATTTTAGACTTTGTTATTAGGCACACATTCATTTGTAACTGGTACGTTCTCCTGATGAACTGACCATTTTGTCATTATGAAATGCCCTCTTTATCTCTTGTTTTTTCACCCAATCTGACATCTCTGCCTTTTTACTAAAAAATTTAGTAAATGTTCATGTAATTTTTATAATTAGTGTACTTGTTGGTATGTTTAGGCCTATCTTTAGTATTGGTTTTCTTTTTGTCCCATCTATTCTTTGTTCCTCTGGTAGCCCCCAGTTCTGTCCTTTGATACCTCAAGACTGTCAGATTGTGCTTTGAATTCCGGCCACTGTGCCTCCCCTCACCCTCACCTCACATGGATGGGGAAGAGCCCTCAGGGGAAAAGTAGAGTACCCAACGTGGTTTCCTTTTTCAAGGGTCGAATCCCTCTATTTCTGTTAGTTTTTCCTGTTCTTCAGGACCCTCAAATAGCTTTTTAAAACAATATTTTGCCCAGAGTTTATCATCTTTATCTGCAGGAAATTTAGTCTCCTGTATTACCAGACTTTGCCATTACTGGAACCAGAACCTGAACTGATTTGTTGTTTGTACTGAAAGCTCAGGAAAAGTGGCCTGCCATGACAACCTAAGGCTTTGCCCACTAGTCAGATTGGGCACATTGATGGAACTGCAGTGTGCCCCCACACAGAACAAGGGTAAGAGGAATGGATAAAAGGAGAATGAGAAGCATTAAAAATAAAACTATCTGACAATGGGGAAGAATGTGGAGTAATGCGATCATTATAAACTGCTGAGAGGAGTGTAAACTGGCACCAATGCTTCTGAAAACAATTTGGCGGTATCTACTAAAGCACAGAAAACCCTATCAGGCAGTTCTACTCTGTCATATGGGGTTGCCATGAGTCAAAATTGACTCAACAGCACCTAACAACAACACTAAAGCTGAACCTTTGCATACCCAATAACAAGTACTTCTGCGCCTAAGGATATATTCAAGAATGCTGAAAGCAACCTTGTTTGTAATAGAAAAAAATCTGGAAACAACTCAAATGCCCATCAACAGAAAAACGGACAGATTGTGGTGTATTTTCACATGGTGAGTGGAAAAACAAGTGTCAAAAGACTATACAGAGTGTACAAAAACAACCAAAACTAACTCTTAACAAAATTCTAGCCAACAGAATTCAGCATCATATTTAAAAAATAATACACCACGACCAAATGGGATTCATACCAGGTATGCAAGGATGATTCAACACTAGAAAATCAATCAACGTAATCCACCACATAATAAAACAAAAGAAAATCACATGATCATCTCAATCAACATAGAAAAGGCGTTTGATAAAGTCCAGTACCCATTCCTGATAAAAACTCTCAATAAAATAGGTACAGAAGGGAAATTCCTCAACATAACAAGGGCATCTATACAAAACCAACAGCCAACATCACTCTTAATGGAAAGAGGCTGAATACATTCCCCCTGAGAAACGGAACAAGACAGGATGCCCTTTATCACCACTCCTATTTAATATTGTGCTAGAAGTCCTAGCCAGAACAATAAGGCAAGAAAAAGAAATAAACA